GAGTTTCTTGCCTTTCCCTTAGAGTATTATAATATTGATTACAAATTTTACAAAACTAATTTCTAATACCCAAATTTTGCCACTGAATAGTACATATTAGGGAAATCAAATATCACGATGTTGGAATAATTTTAGAAAATACATAAAGTTATCTAGAAATATGAGCAAAGACTGAATTAGTCTGAATATGATAAAAGATAATGACCCTGTAAATAGCTGAATACGCTGAGTGCTTCAGGTCTAAAATTGTGGTTTTTATGTTTTGTTTTGTTTTAATTCAGCTGTTTTCTTATCTGAAAGGTCAAATTGTAGTTACAAGCTATTTTAAATATCAGGTGCCTCAGGTTTTGGAAACTACAGAAGACTCTAAGATTGTTGGGAGAAGCCTCTCTCTATTAATAAACTTCAGTGCAGTAGTGCTATGCACACAGATATGCATTTTTCTAAAGTCATCCTAAGTAGAGAGAGCTAGTTTAGTATTAGCTGTACCACAGGGTACAATCCAGTCTGTCTACCAATCCTTACAGTAGGACTTCCCTAGACTTGTCAGTGTAGTGAAAATAATAAGTAATCTGACTTGTAGGATCACTACTCATCTCATGACTCATGGGTATGGGCAACACCCTATCTCTAGCCCACCTCAAAAGAGTAAGTATTTACAAAAGTTTATAGAGCTTAAATTCATTTGAAAAACCTCAATCTGAGTCAGTACACTTGGCACCAGGAATACCACTGAGAGCATATTCCTGCAAATCCAAATTCATAAGATGAGGTACACACAGAAGCTAACAGAGCAAATACACAGAAGGTTAAATTAAGTAAATCTTCAATTATGTTCTAATTAAAAATGAAGCTTGGAAAATGTTTTGAGGTGAAAAGAAATGTATAATGTGACTAGAAAATAAATAAAAACTGGGAAGAATTTCAAAACATTCATTGTAGATTTTGCCCTCAGCCTGCTATGCTTTGCCCTGACTTTAAACTTTCCAACACAAAGATTCCTAACCCTGTTGATGTTGAATCATATTGTTTTGTTATATATTCTCATGTTAGAATTATACAGGCTATATTATAGCACTGAGAAAGGACTTTAAGGCCTTAACAAAAACAGAAGATATGGTTCATAACTACAAGTCGCATAAGGTACAAACCCAGAAGTTACTGCCAACCAGTTCATAATAATGTGGTATGCACCAGAAAAGTTGCCTACCTTCTATATGGTGGGGCAGGATTTTGGGAGAAGTTGCTCCAATGGACAGAGTAAAGCAGGAAGTTTGGAAGCAAGGGAAGCAATTCCAGAGCACCAAATATTAATAGTTATCAGGCTCAAGATGAAATAATGGGGCAGACATCTCAAAAGACAATCACAGAAGCAAATTCGGAAGCATACCTCCTGCTCATATGCCCATATGATATGCTCACTATTAGGGCATAAATAAAACCCATGACCTAGTCAGCCCAGCATTAGAAAGTGAGTGAAAGAAGGCCATGCCTGCAGTTTAGGACAACGCACATTATTCTCTTCTTACCTTCACACAGCATCAGGAGTTGGTGCAAATTTGCTGAAATCATCTTCAGCATACTCACACCTTAGGAATTTATGAACATTCCCATCCTTGAGGATGGTTAGCATACTGAGGTGTGTCTTCAGGTGTGTGTTTGACTGAGCAGCGTGTCCACTTTTTTTCTGCTGTCTGTTCTGTGGTATAAAGACTGGCTTAAACTCTCAAACTCTGTGTGTGTGTGAGTGTGTGTGTGTGTGTGAGAGAGAGAGAGAGAGAAATTTAAATGGTTTATTGAACAACTGAAGATAAAAGCTTTGCCTGTCACGCAGGGATGAGTGCTGTTACGAGGAGAGCCCGGTTTTCATTCTCACATATTCAGATTGCTGGGATGATGATGGCAACCCAGGTCCAGACTGCTGCCAGGAAAGTCCCTACAGAGGGAAGATGGAGGTCTGAATCAGGTCCCTAAGGATATTAGGGGATGCCATTACTATCTGTGTTTTCTACCAGGTTAGGTATCCTAGAAAACCTAAGAGAGTTGTTCACAGTGGAGATTAGGGAAAGGATTTGGGAATGGGGTATGGTGGTAACAGTAAACTTTGAAACTTTAAGCAAAGATTCAAGGGCTGCAGGTTAATACTGATACACCAGCTGGTGGTTTCTACAAAGGCTTTGGGTGTGCATTGATTTCATCTCCCAATGGGAAGAAATATCTATTGCCTAATAATACCACCTTTTATAATCCAAGGACATTGTTCATGTCATTACTTTTTGTGCCAGGATTCCCCCTCCGGCTGTGGTTGAACTCCACACACTATCTGCCCTTATTTATTATCCTGCTATCCTAAAGCATAAACAAGGACAGGAAGCAAGGACTACACAAACCCAAATTATGTAATGCATGTATTCTCTGTTATTGATTATGCACCAACTAATAGAGCCATTGATGTATTACTATTAGCATTTTGTTAAAATGTGTGCGCTGTTTTCCCTGGACTTTCTGAAGCCTTTTAAATCCCTCTATATTCTGCTACAATTTTCATACTGAGAATAAAAAAGTAATATGTCTCTTACTTCAGGCTGTCAAGTTTGAATGGAACCTTGAAAGTCCTTTAGTGCAACTCCTACTACACCGCTCGTTGCAAAGCATCCAGGTTGCCCATCGTCTTTACTGGTAAGATCAAAACAGGTTAGGATGCTTTTTAAATTGTCAACTTCTCTGTAGAACAGCTTTAGAAAAAGAACAAGACTCCTTTACTTTGTAATTGATATAAACTGTGAGTTAAAATTAAGGCAATTTCAAGCCTTTGTGAAAGTTATTGTCATTTAAGAGAATAATTTGTCATCATTTATGAAATCTTTCTTTTGGAACATTGCTACCGTTAGACATCAGATTAAATCTAACCAGAATTTTAAATCTTAATGATACCTTTCTTGTAGCTTTAAATCACAAGCAATTTATATATCTACTCCTTGAAGACTTCAATGTAAGATCTAGTCATAAGACTGATTATTTTGAAAGAACATGTGCTTTGAAAGTACTTTCTGTGCAATATTATTTATAAACAATGGAATCTGAAAGTCAATGTTATACTCTTTCTGTTGGAAATTCCTAGAGCACTAAACTTTTCCCAAAGCATAAATCTGGAATACTATTAGTAGAGAAATAAGACTTATTTAAAAGATATCAAAATTACCATCATGACCTACTTGGGATCTTACTGAACATGATATTCTTTGCATGCTGTTTTTCCTATTTTTTTTATTACTAACCCCATAGATTCAATTTCAGTTTCATAGCACAAAATTCTAATAATTACAAGTGTCCATGACCTAATGGTAAAATTAAATCTACCTTTAAAAAAAATGTACTGTAAGATAAATCACCTGGCAGAAATTGCTGACACTATGGAACATTATCGCATACAAATTTATGTAAAGGAGAGCTGTGTTTTACATGGATATGTTATGCTCACTCAAC